GAGCTACTTTACAGGCTGATTGGAATGTGCAGAAGGCAGTAAGGAGCAAGCAAGCAAGCTTCAGGATGATTGCCCGTCAAAAGACAGGCATTTAGGGAGACAGGAGTACTGAAAGCTGCTGCATGTACATTCCTGTAAGCAGTTTATGTTTTTCTCACAGTGTCATTATCTTTAAGGCAATTTTATCAGGCTCTAAATACACAGCCATTGTTTAATCTTTCGTGTGTAACACCAGCCTGAAGAGCATCAGATTCAAAATTTACAAAGCAATTAACAGGCCTCAAGCACCATTTTTTAAAAAAAAATCCAAACTCCAGGCAAAGCTAGACAATTTGTTTTTGTTTAGGGTATAGTCAAATGAGTTAGAGACCAACTTCAGCAGTGGTTTTATTGCTGTCTATATCCTTATTGGGGAGATTTGTTCCTCTTAAGAGAGGGAGTGACAAAAGGTCTGCAGTGATGACACACCAGAACAAAAACATTTCCTAGAGACTAGAGCATCCTTAATTTCTTGCATGGGCATTACTAGCATAGAAAATTAGGGCAAATCTCTCCAATGGGGTTAGAGACGAATAAAACCCTAAAATCTATCCAACCCCCCCCAAAAAAAAAAAATTAAAAAAAGCTGAGCTGGAAGCCTTAAATCATCAATCAGCTCTATAGTATTAAAACAAAAGTGCTGCCTGTAGCTCTAAACATGCTTTTGGAAGCATTATACATGTGTTAAGTAGAGCTAAAACTTGCTAAAAGCTTATTTAAACTACAGCCTACATTCCACTAAGATTTTGTGTTCAACATTTACAAGTTAAAGGGTGCATTAAAGGCTTCAAGAAAGCTTATTTTTGCAAGTATGGAATATACCTGTTGGTCTTGCTAGAAATGCAGTGCCCTTCTCATTTCCTGTGGTGGTGATGATGATCTGGTAGCCCAGACAAGGTTATCTTTTCTCTGTAATCTACTAATCCAATTATCCTCCATACAATGGTGATGAACAAAGGCAGACATGTTTGAAATCCACATTCATCGTTTTTGTTTATGTTTGGATGGCTACACTCACTCCTCCACAATATCTATGGAGAGTGCAATGATTGTCGCACAGGCTGGACTTCTAACAGATCTTTCTCTCCAACTCCATTACATGGAGAACGATGGTATTAGTAGTTTAAATAAAGAGGACTTTGTTTTTGCATTCATCTCAGAGGAAGTGTCAAGGACACTGCATTTATGGCAAGCTCAAAGGGATAGGATGAGTGTCATGTGATTATCAGGTGAAAATAAAAGTAACCACCTCATTTAAGGACCAGTAAAGTTGAAGTACATTATGTTGTTTTTGATTTAAATACGTTTCACTCTCACTGCACTCATACAAGTATGCAGGGTCAGCATAAAAGCTCAGTAGCCAGCATTATTTAAGGTATTTCCACCAGCATTTCTCCAATGATAGGTTTACATTAGCCCAACTAAGAAGCTAAATTACAAAAGGAGTTAAGTATATTAGATAACACAGTAAACTGTGTGATTATTCACTTCAATTATCCAATCATTCGAAAAGCAAATTTCTATCCCCTATTTTCATCTGCACACGATTGGATAATTGGAGAATATTCACACAAATTTATTGTGTGAATATGCTCAATTCATTTAGTCAAGATGCCCAACTATTGTTCGCCCTTAACATTCCGTAACGTGTCACACATGAAACCTCCTCCAATACTAAAACGATACTCTTTGGTACCGAAAACTGAATTTCACTCAGAGTAACTGAATTAACTTGTATTACACATAATAACCAGGATTTCCCTTTAATTCTTGCAGGCAAAATTATGAATGTGACTGGTTTTTAAAGACATATTAGAACTGGGCTTTAATATTAAAGTGGAACAAAACTTCACTTGAAAAAAAACATTGCTGAAGGGAAGGTTTTTTTTTTTTTAATTGTAGGAGAAACTATCTATGGCTCTTCTCCCCCAAAAAGGTGTTACCTACCTGCCAGCAATTTGTTTTGTGAATGTAAACTATGCCGTGCATGTGCCACTCATTGTACAATACGGACATCTGCTGGGTGCTTAGACGACAACTCCAGTGTGCGAAAGTTGCATCATGCTGGGCTAGCCAATGAAGATGGCCCAAGATGGTGAAATCCAAAGACTGGGAGAAGACGTCAGTTGCAGTGACGGAGCAACAATACGGCTGTTACAGTGCTGAAATAGGGCCCTTTGGCAGGTTAGTGTGCCATACTGAACATATATGCTGTGCATACTTGCACATTATGGCAAAAACCATGGGTGCTAGCAATTGAGTTTAATTCTGTTTTAACTCAACTGTTGTCTTGTTTCAGAGAAACAGTTACAAACCTTATGATACAAGTCTGAAGGCTTAGGCCTTGTTCACACCAAATGCAAAGCAGATCCGCTCAGGTTTCTGCACACGCAGTGCAGTGGGTTGTGCCACGTTTGTGCCACGTTCTGGGCCGTTTTTGGTTAAAAAAATAATTATATATATATATATTTTTTTTTTAGTTTAACATGGGCTTTCAGTGTGTTCCAGGCATTTGCATGTGTTTTTGATGCATTTGCATGCGTTCCAGAGCAGGTAAAATAGGGCTTGCAGCAGTTTTTTCACCTGCTCTGGAACTGAACGCTGCAATGTGAACTGGAGCAAAAAATACCATTGGAATACATTGGACGCAGTTTTGATCCGGTCTGAAACTGCTATGCTCCGCGCTTGGTGTGAACAAGGCCTTACATGGCTTTCCTGCATATGTGCCAGTGACAATGCATACACAGATCATCATAAATGAAGAACGTCTTCACTTGGATGTGTATTGTATTGTTCACATGACTAGCTGTTTTGCCTGCCAGGTCAGAACAAGTCAGAAGCACATCAAAGCCTGTATAATTTGTGATGTGATTTTTAATTCCTACAGTAGTGGCTACTAGGAAAGCGAGACACTGACATCCTTTGCAGCCCATGGACAGCAAAATAAAGTGAGCTAGCATAACATGTTGATTACACCTAAATTTCCCGTTCGCTACAGTAGCTTTACATAGCAAACATAAGGGGGCATACATTTTAAAGACAGTGATCCTGTAAAAGGAGGTTCTCCATAAAATGGTATCTTATATTTAATAACAGGAATGTCAAGCACAAGCAATCATACTCAATAAAAAATGACACCAAAGGACAAAATTGAATTGACCTATTAGGCATAAAGCAGGTAGCAGATTTATCTTGTTGGGTAGAGGACTGGCACTTTAGGTTTTCCTGTAGGCTTGCTGGACATATCTAATTTTCCAATGTCTAAGAGGCTTTTTGAGGAACCAGCCACACAAACAAAGGCTTGAGCACTGGATGCCACCAAGCTGCCAACCCTTGTGCACAGAGCAGCAAACTATATGACAATAGCTCTTGCAAAATGCTTTTGGCACTCAAGTGGATGAATTCTTAGAACTTAGCATACATTAGAATTAATCCATTTTACTGAACTGTGAATTTCTGTTAAAAAGAATGAAACAAAATAAATCAGTATAAAAAGGGAAGGAATGACAGCTAAAGTTTTTCTCTCTTTAATCAACAGTGAACAAGATCACAGTAAATGCTTTACTTAATAATAAAGTAAGGAGCAATGCTGTGCAACCACACAACTGCCTTTGTTGGCCAGGATAACACTATTTAGAAAATGGATTAATATTGGTTGCTTTGACATTGAGAGCACCATTAATTTGCACTTTTAAAAAGAAAACTGTAAGGAAAGGAATATGGGAGCTGCTATTCCTTACTTTGTTGCAGGTTTAAGAAGGAAGAACTGCCAATTCGCATATTCCTTCCTGACAGATTTTTAGGTATATTCAGAAAAGCAGTGCACAGAACAAACATTTGTAACAAAAATAGTAACTAGAAATAAAATTGCTGTACTCATTTATGGAATAACTGCTCAGTGGCTATGGCAATGAATATCAGTGTTATTTTCACTGCTTTGCTAAAAACGATCATAGGAGGGGGAAATATTGAAACGCTGGTGCATCAACCCTGAGAATAAATGAAGTCAACTTTCATAAATGCTATTTTTATTATGTAAGTGCCAATCATGTACTTTTATAGAGGGTCAGGTAATGCAAGCCTATGTGTCTTATGCAGAGCAATGCAACAGGTTTGCTTAATGTCCTTCTGTTCAGCAGCCCATATACTCACCATTCCTTCACCCCCTGCTACTCCAGTCAGATGCTGGGAGCAAGGATAATAAACTCTGCGTAAGCTCCAAGTTAAACTAGTAGCAAGCAGTGCATCTCACAGCAGACTTATGTCTTCATTGCTGGCCACAGGTGCCATTGACAAGAGGGACCCGCCCTCACCCCAAACATGCAAGTCAATAACAGGAAAAGCCAAATCACCCCCAAATCCTTCATTATTTTCTTAAATAAACTTTATGCCATAGCGAATTATGCATTATATGTAATGTCGTCCACTAGACCCTGCTCCTTCTCCAACATGTTAATCAATTAAGCCTCTCCCGGGATGAGATGTTTTGGAGGAGGAGCAGGGTCTCCAGACAGCATAACATGTAATGGATTGTTGACTGTGGAATAAAGTTCATTAAAGAAAAAAATGCCAGTCATTCTGCTTTCAGAACTACGTAGAGCTTACACAGGGTTCCCATTCTAACATAACACAACTGGGTCAATAACCAAACACCAGCACTGTCACGCAAGGAAGGGAATGATCCACATGCTCTTCATACCCAGAAATACCAGATAATGCAGCTAAACATTGTGGCGGGGTAGCAAATAGTATTTGCTGCTGGAGAGAGAGGCATAAAAAGCAAATGTTGCTTTGGCCTGCATTTCCAAAGCACATGTTTGCTTTAAGGCAACTTGTCCAAAAAATTACATATGTTGGGGGAACAGCAGGCATACACATTCATATACAATGGCAACCACTCAATTCATAGCCGCTTATGGAATTAGAAAAAATAAAACACTTGCAAAGTTTAATTTCAAACGTTAATATATTTTCTATTTTGTTGTGAACATATGCATCGGTCACCCCTAATTGCAGAAACTGACATCATAAAAAAGGGGGAACATTTGTAAAATGCCTCTTAAAATAAATATTTCTCTTTTATAAAATAATAAAACTTCAAATAAATATACTTTACACTAAACAATATGTTGAAAAATTAGAAAATAAAGGCTGACTCTTAACGCAACTGTACAATATACAGAAAGTCCAAAGAGTAGAAATATTAAGGTTCAATAAGGTGAAGCACAATCTAACCATATGGATAGATTTACATTCCACTGAATGTATTATTAGTACATTTTGTGATTGTGCCAATTCATGTGGCACTATATTTCACAGTTGTAAATAATATGTACAAAAATATAGCACATTATCTCTGGCAGAAAAAAAAAAAAGTCATTTGCTAATTTACAAAAATGTTGCAAGTATTATTCACAAACAATGCACAGTTATGTGGGAGTGTCTGTGTTGCTTTAGCTTATACAAAGTGTGTCACAGAACACTGTGTCCTAGGCAGAGCTTGATTAAAGGGTCTCTAACAAGCCTATCAGTTAAGATAGCACATAAAAAGCATTTCACTGCAAACAGGAAACACTGCTATCTACCAATTGTGCCAAGATGACCATTTTTATGATTGCATATGTGTGTTAAAAGTCAATTACTTTCGCTCTCTAACCCCATCTGCTATGTTGGCTTCCCCGAGTTTCTGGGATGTAACTGTGGCACTTTACAACATACTGTATTTGACCTTTTGCATTGGCATCCTGGTCTTTTTGCCCGGTCATAACAGCCCTGACACAATTTAAGGCAACCCTTGGCTGGAAGGTAACACCATAAACAAGGCAAGAACATGGACATAACACCAATGACAGACCATCGAGTGCAGCAGTGTGCCTGACTGCAGGAGCAGGGGTTGTCGGCACAATTGTCCTCATCATCATTTGAGCAATGATAGAACAGGCACTTAACACAGCAAACACAAGTTCCATAGTCCACCACCTCCTGTGCTGAGCAAAGGCACTGCTTGTCACAAACCCAGCAAGAGGGAAGAGTCCTTGGATAAGTGCATTCTTGACACTTACATTTCCCACAGCTCTCACATCTGTATGCATGTAAGCCCAAGTCTTCTTTGCTGGGGGGCTTTAGCTCCTCTGGTTTCATATCAACCTTCGGTTGCACCTGAATGATTCTGTCAGCACCCAACCCAGATGACATGAGGGATGGACCTAAAAGTCTCTGCTCTGATGAACTGCTACTTGTGCTTGTCCTTGTACTACTCCGAGATCCTGTACTCACTGTACTTATGGATCGTGAAAAAGATGCCCGAGATGAGGAATGCATTGAAGGAAGTGTACTCCTACAAAATTCCCTCTGGTCCGTTACCGTGTGTACCCTTTCATTTTTGTGCTGGGTAGTTTGACGAGGAGCAGGCTTAATCCAAGGCCGGGGAGCCACTGTAGGTCCTTCTGTATACTCATTAGTGTTTCGTATGGCTCTGATCTGATCCAATGATAACACATGAACTTGCTGTGTTAGTATTTCCCTAGGATCAATGTCACCATGAGGTCCCCCATTGTCACGCCGAGCCTGGAGTAAAGGTTGGGTACCGCTGCCATTTTGTACTCTCGTATCCATCAGTACTCTGAAGAGTTTTCACTCCAGTAGGCCGAGAACACATCTGAAATTCTGTTGAGAAGCAAAAATAAGTCATCCATTTTGCTAATGGTTGATGCAAAATATAACAATGTTTAGTCACAAATGAGAAAAAATAATTTGGTAAAAAAATGAATTTCAGTATTTCAAAGGGGTACTATATAAATGTCTAAAAATGTCAGAAATCAAAGCGTCTCATCAGTTTCAACATACAGACTATATTAAAGAACCCAAAAACATAAAACAAAGGTGAAATGTACATAACTGATTTCTTCCCTGTTCGTCACATTCAAAGCATGATGCAAACATATACTTAGTTTCTAGCTAGACTGAAATGGCTGAATACATAAACATGTTCTGCTGAGCCTACAACCCCAAAGGAGTTTACTTTACCGATAACCTGGAAAACACCTTCAATTATGATTACAAGATCCATTACAGCAATGCGTTTCCATGGCTGCTTTGTGTTCCAAGCACTGTACTAGCCTCAGAGCTTCTACATGTTGGAGAATATCCCATAGGCAACTGAGCTACCTTCACTAGACCTCCCCATAGAACTAAAGAAGTGGTTTGCCACTTCTATAAAAGCAGAAAGGTCCTTTAAGTATCTCAGATTATATCAAGTTTAATAGTGCAACAAGTGTATGAAAAGCAACATGATTTTGTACTGGTGAGCACAATGTTAAAAATACATCAGATTGCAAATTTCCCCTTAAGATTTATGTCAAATCCTGATCCATCTAATTCTTCTATAGTTACAGGCTTAGCTGCAACTTAATCCAGTAAAAGATGGTGTTAAGTTTTGACAACGCAAATTTATCATCACAGAAAAAAAAAAAAGAAAAAAAAAAAAAGTATGACTTGCATTTGTTAATTTATTTGTATAATTGCATGTTCTAATACTGCTGCAGCAACACAAGGTAATGGAAAAAAATTGAGGCTATACATACAATTAAATTTGAAATCTAGGTGTCAAATTGTCATTTAGAAATCAGGGAATGAACGAAGCCTTTACTATTTAAGGCCCTTCAGAACCTGGGCAGGGCCATAAATAATTTGGTGATCTATTCAACTGGGATTTGTTTTAAGTCATCAGCATTAAAACTAATACATCCTGTTCTCAAATATTTCCTGTAATAAAAAGAATCCTTTAAGAGTTTGTAGGGAATGGGGGAGGGGGAAAAAAAATAAATCACATGAGAATTCCTTACACATCATAAAGCCCTAAGAGAAATAGCACACTACAACCGTATATAATGCAGTACACGTTTTGCTATAGAGTGCTATATTAAATGGAAATGCATTCTAAATACTAGATAACATGTCAAATTATCAATATTACATAGAATGTATCTAATGTACATACTGGAGATACAACTATATACACTGATTAGCCGGTACTAAGACCAGTCAATTTTCATTCATGTTGCAAATATTCAGAGCACTGCCAACAGCAGTCATGCAGTGGATGACTGTGTTGACTGATACAAAGTGCAAAGTTTCTTCAAGGAAAGCATTTTAGTGAATCAATGCCAATCTTGAACTGTTCCCAAGGAATGACCCTTTCACAGTCCACACCTAGCTTAAAAGGTGGCCATACACTGTACAACCATCGCAAGACCTTAGTCTTGCGATGGTTGTAAAGTGATTAAAAAAACGTACGATCTGCCCATCTTGGACAGGCAGATCGCACTCTCGATCATCGCAAGCCCGCCCCCGAGGGGCGGGCTTCCGATTACAGCAATGCTGAACGGGCAGTGTGCGCGTGCGCACACCGGCCCATTCGGCATTTGTCTCCCGAGCACCGTTCAAACCAGCCGAAAATCGTACGATTCTCGGCTGATTTTCTAACATGCTCCTTAGACAAAAGACGTGCGACCGTACAGTAGAAACGGTCGCACGTCTTCGTTCAGACTGTTCGATTCTCGTACGAGAATCGAGCAGTGTATGGGCACCTTTACATTGATCGCCATGGTGGCAGTTCCGATTGAGGTCTGGTCACCAGGGGCACTATACATTACTTTTAGGACAGCCTACCCTCAAAGCTGCTATCCCTTCCAACTTTGATGGACACTAAACTTAGGAGTTAAATCTTAAAAATGCATTCAACTACCTTAACAAAAATGTACCTTATTGGGGTATAACTCATCTGTAGATCCTCAATCTCTCAACTCATGCTAACACTGTCTTTCCTTCTGGAGGGTGGCTACTCCTCTTCCCCATGGTCCTTGTGTGTTGTAAAGTAGCAACCGCTCCAAGCTCGCTCCCTTGATGGACCAGCATTTCAATACAAAATTAGTAAACTAAACTTGAGATTATAGTCCATCATGGAAGCGAGCTTGGAATGGTGGCTACTTTTGTGTCACTTTAAGGGACTTTGCTACACATGTGCACTAGTGGGATTGTTCCATTTTACTATTTAAAAAAAAGAATGAACAAACCTATTTTTACAAGCATGCAGGAAACTCTGACTTGTAAGGTCTAAGCCTTGCTGCACATTATTATTACAGGTATATTACGCACAACTGTTGCCAACAATTTGCAGCCCTAGGTCCCAGCCAAGTAACAGGAGAGCGACAATAAGACTAGGTGAACACAGCTTCTAAATACTACACAAATGGCCTCAACCACGACAAAGGAAGCTTATGCCTTCCTCTCTCATGTGAACAAGTCTCAACAGGTGTATGGAAACCAGGTTCCTCTTCAATTGTATTCAAGTAACAGGAAACCAGCTGCCATAATCAGACTCTCTCCCCTCTTTCACTGAGGTCACTGCAATGCAAATGACAATAGCCAGAACACTTGACTATTCGCATATCAAACACTACCTGCATTTTACAACACAAGTCCTTTATGGTTTGATGGCTTTGATACACAGGCTAAAAGGACCTGTTCCCTAAAACAAATGAGGATGGGTTGAGTAATGCACATTATTCATGGAATTTACTGCATGTCTTGCAAACAGGATGCTATTACCCTTACAACATTTTTCTGGATGAAGAGCTATTTTAATTTCAGAGATCTATAGATCCAGGCCTGTTTCACTGTGCAGCCATCCTGCACACAGCACATTCTCTGTTATATTACTTGACAATGAAGGGATTGAGATCATTGCTGTGCAAACACTATCCAGGGCCCATGTCAAGCGAGAGGTGAACGTATAATACCTAAGTCAATGCATTATGTCAGGGGTAGACAAATTAATATGGAACTCAGGAGACAGTCTGCCTGATCCAGCAGCCAGCTCCCTTGACAACTAGGAGCAAACCCTCGAAAGTAAGGCTCCATCTGTAAATTTTAAGGAGCATTGGCTACCTGGCTCCTGGAATATGTTCAGCCCTGCATTAGGTAGTTCACAAATGCACTGCAGCTATATTTGGATTTATGGATTTTTTTAAATTTGCTTGTGTGCGAGTATTTTGATGAAATCATCAAAAAACAACACATTGATTAGATCAGTTGTATAGCATTTTTGGTTGGCTAGTTAAGTCAAGCAGCCACTTAGCAGTTTAAAAGACCAAGTTTCTTATTAAAAATGCAAAAAGTTCAAGATATAGTAGTTACCCATCCTGGAACGTGTCTCGATTAATCGAACTTAATAATCGGCTAACTAATCGATTTTGAAAATAATCGTTAGCTGCAGCTCTACTAATCTTCATCTATATTCCTGTGTACATTTGTGTATCTATATCCGATTATATATCTCAATTATCCCTGCAGTGCATCCGTTCAGTATCTATCTATCTATCTATCTATCTCTATCTATCTATATCTATATCTATATCTATCTATCTATCTCTATATCAAAGACAAATTTGTATATGTATACATGCAAACAATACAAACGTTGACATTTTGCCACGGAGCATGTCATTGAATACAGAGCCCTCCTTTTCTAATAATTTATGTTAAACTACTTCCATGTGCATACAACGTTCTTTACTGTACATATATGCAGCAAACTTATGGATGTTACTATTACTAGGAAAGGCGCTCTCTGGCTTGCCTGGACTGCACTATTTTCACACCCAAGTTGTGTAACTGAATTAAATAGAATTTGTACACTGGAGAGGTCACTCTACTTTGTAAGCATACAAGAGTAAATATTGCTCAGGTATTTAATTTGCAAATAGAAATCTAAAAAACAGCACAACAACTACACATTTCAGTAATGTTCAGTAACGTGCAAAATAAAAATGAAGCTCCGTCTGTTAAACCCTTAAAAAGAAAGTCATATACAGTTGCAGGGGGAATGTAGAACATTACATTTTACAAGTCTTGCCTGACGGGTGCGTGCGCATGCATATATATTATATATATATATATAAAATCACACATATAATAAATCAATCAAAAAACTGCTCAGACATGCATCCCATTTATGCAAATCATGAAAATAAGTTTGATTTAGACAGAAGTGAAAGAAACTACAAAGTAACAATTCCTCAATATGTTATAGAAGTTCTCTTCTTTCCAGATATAGCCTAGTCAAGCAAATCTTTAGTCAAAGCGTTGAACTGAAAAGAAAGTTGATATCACTTGTCAAAAAAAACAAAACAAAAAAACAAAACACATGCTGCTGTCAGATTGTATCTGCCGCATTTCAGTCAATAAGTTTGCTGGCGACCCGAAAAAACAAAACAAAATGATATATTGATATAAAATCTAAATCTAAAACCAACTTCATAAACACAACATATTACATTACTTCACATACTTTATGTACTAAATCTGTCCTAAATATGTTTTTCACAAAAACAAGGATCAAATGCAAATATTTCTGGATGAAAAGAGGACATTTGTCATGCTTTCAACAGGTTATCTCCACATAAAAGATAGTCGCTCATTAATGGCAGGAAGTAATCTATATAGAGGATATGTCATGTTTTCCTGTAGGTCTTCCACGCACACAGGCCTCCAACATAAATCAAAGCCAACAGCCATCCAGAGTGAGCATAACCACGAACAACTCTGCACATCAACAATACTCCATTATTTCTGAACATGTCACTTTAAGATCAACAGCTCAGCAATGAGCAATAATAAAAGTAGAAGAGCACTGATCGTGTTGATCCCTGTCACCTTTTCCAAGAATGACAAACGTATCAAGTGCTCCTAGAAAGAAAGGGGTGATCCATCTACAAAGTCCTCCTAGGAGGATTGGGGGATCCAAATAAAAAAGTACCCCTAGTAGGAAAGGGGATCCAACTAAAAAGTGCTCCTAGAAGGAAAGGAGATCTATCTAAAAAGTACTCTTAGAAGGATAGGGGGATCCAACTAAAAAGTAACTACAGGACAGAAAGGGGAATCCGTCTAAAAAAAAAAAAGAAGAAGAAGTACATCTAGATGGAAAGGGGGGGTTTATCTAAAAAAAAAAAAAAAAAAAAAAGTACTCCTAGATAGAAAGGGGGTCCATTTAAAAAAAGTACTCCTAGATGGAAAGGGGGGGGTTTATTAAAAAAAAAAAAAAAAAAAAAAAAGTACTCCTAGATAGAAAGGGGGTCCATTTAAAAAAAGTACTCCTAGATGGAAAGGGGGGTCCATCTAAAAAGTAATCCTAGAAGGAGGGATCCATGTAAAAAAAAGTGCTCCTGGACAGTAAGGGGGCTCCATCTAATAAAGTAACTCCAAAACAGAAAGGGGGTCCAAAACAGAAAGGGGGTCCAAAACAGAAAGGGGGTCCAAAGAAAAAAAAAAGTACTCCTCGAAGGAAAAGGGGATCCATCTAAACTCAAACATAAAAGGCTTACCCAATAATGGGAAGTGTTGTTCTCTGCACGGGTTCAAGTTTAGGATTTTTGCATTCCTAACCCAGGGACTTGTATCCTCAGCCAGTCTTATGGAACCTTTTTTATTTACAGTCTGCAAATGATAAAGTCAAAGTTGTTGCCATAAAAGAAAAGCAACAAACAAACACGATTTTGTTTGTGTGCTGCAGGATGGGCTATGTGAATTGTAGAGCTGTCTCTATGCCATCCTCCCCCCTCCTCTGAAAACCCCATTAGGAGCCGTGTGTGATCAGACTGAGGATTAGGGGGGGGGGGCGAAGCAAGGAGTTTACTGTGGGGACAGGGTGAAAAGACATAAATAGCTCTTTAAACTAGACCACAACATTTCCGAAGCTGCTCAACACCACAAGATATATCCTCTTCTAAATTCGAAATAGAACTCAATGCAAACCACAGAGTGGAAACTTTGAGTAAAGATAGCAGAAGGCTGATCACCACACTGAAAAACAAAAAAAACCCACCAAAAATAAAGTGACTGTACACCCCTAAATTAGGCAGGATCCCTCAAAAGTCATGCAGCACAGGAAATGAGAACATTCAAGTGGTTCCGATGAGACACCGACCCAAGTTGTGTTCCAACAAAACCAGATCAACTTGTTACACTGTTTTCCAAAACAAGCCACGTTTCCGCTCCGACCCAGAGCCAACATAATAACAGGGGTTCTGCCCGTGGATCGGCACTGTGTGGAAGGGTCTCCACCGCAGCTTGGGGCCACCACAACCTGCACGGACCTGGGCTGGTGGCATGTTTTAGAAACATGCATCAAAGTTTACCAACCTGCAGGAGGAGAAAGCTGCTGAGACACCATCTGTGGCTGTAAACATGGAAGCGTGATCGCCCCCACCTTTCCCTAGAAGCAGAGGTAGCCAGCAGCCCCCCTCCACTAGTCCCATCACCCCGATGGAGGGCCTCCCGGGTCTGATCTCATAGTCCCAACAAGCCGCACTCACCGTAACGGCAGCTTCACAACGACTCCTCGCTCCGGAAAAGTTTGCAAGGATCGCTCGGATCCCGGAGCTCCCGATCTCAGCGATCCCAAACAAGACGAGCAATCCAAGTGGCAATGCGATCTCCCCCCACCAAAAAAAGTTTTATCCTCCAGAATCAGGCCAGGTCCGGGACTGGGGTGACAGGGCTGGTGTGTGCCTGGGATCGCGCTGATGTGTGCTGTGGAGCAGTAAATGGCGTCATGTGGAAGTGAGGAGGAACAGAGCAGTTGTTGTCCCAGAGGATATATCGCATCCGGTCCGTGCTCATTGGCTCTGCGGGGCTACATTCACTCACACTCCCAGCTCCGAGCCGCAGGAGGGATCTCACAGGGCAATGGCCTCTGATTGCTGCTCACTGCCGGCAAAACTGCTGCTGCTCTAGTGGGTGGGGAGGAGAGAGAGAGGGAGGGAGAGAGAGAGCACTATTAGTGTGCCGGGGCAAATCCTTTTATTGTCCCATGGACTGTGTATGAGAGAGTCCACCCCTATGTCACACACACATAGACCTGACACTGCACATGGCTTCACACACTCACACCACAGAGTACTGAAGATGTATACATTTTCACCAGTAAATGTGCCTATAATTCAAAAAGAAAATAAAGTGCATTCACTATATCACCTCCGCCCCAGGGGTTAATTTGTCATTGACCCCCTTTTACTGTGTACTGGGTTGAGATCAGGTAGCTCAGCGGTTCCAGCGCTGTCCAGCTGTGGTCTGCTGGTCCCACGCCACCATCGTGAAAAAGATTTGGCACATTGTATACTAAAAAAGAAAATAAAAGTGCATTCATTACTTCACCACCACCCTATGGGTTCATTTGTCGTTGACCCCCTCTTTCTGTGTGTACTGGGTTGAGATCAGATAGCTCAGTGAAACCAGCGTTGTCCAGCTGTGGTCTGCCGATCCCACACCACCATCTTGAAAAAGATTTGGCATATCCTATACTGCAAAAATAAAAGTGCATTCACTACTTCACCACCACCCCATGGGTTCATTTGCTGTTGACCCAATCTTACTGGGATAGCACATTCAGCTGCCCAGGGAATCCAGCGTTGTCCTGCTGTGGTGTGATGATCCCACGCCACCATCTTGAAAAGATTTGGCGCATCCTATACTGCAAAAATAAAAGTGCATTCATTACTTTACCACCACCCCGTGGGGTTCATTTGCCGCTGACCCCCTCTTACTGCCAGTAAGAGGGGGTCAACGGCAAATGGACTGGGTTACTGGGTTAGCATATTCAGCTGCCCGGTGAATCCAGCGGTGTCCTGCTGTGGTCTGACGATCCCACGTCACCATCTTGAAAACGATTTGGTGTATCATATTCTGCAAAAATAAAAGTGCATTCACTACTTCACCACTGCCCCAGGGGTTCATTTGCCGTTGGCCCCCTCTTACTGTGTGCGCTGGGTTGAGATCCAATAGCTCAGCGAATCCAGCATTGCCCAGCTGTGGTCTGCCGATCCCACACCATCATCTTAAAAAAGATCCAGCACAAACACTGTAATATTAATATGGGCATGCCACGCTATCCAAATCCTGCTAATCTGAAAATGAACACGTTTAAATACATTCAAAATAACGCAGAAAATGTCTACAAACACAACAAACTAACAATACAATGTAACTAGTGAGTCAAAATATCCAACATAACTGTCCACTGCATGCACAAACACACCTTGGGTCTGTGCCAGGTTCTATAGACTTGGCATGCACCTGCAGCATGCCTACGCACGTGTTGGATCCACTTCACATGCACGCTGCAATTCTCTGGGACTTGGCAGAGACTTATGTCATATATGCAGATACAGAGCATGCGCAGAGTGCCGCATTTCTTTGCCAAGTCTACGGCACCTGGTAGAGACCCGGTCTGCACATGCGTGAATTCTGATTATCCAAAGACACACCGCGGGTCTCTGTAAGAGCATATAACCACGTGCTCGAGATCCTGCTAACTGCCTCCTTGGATGTGTAACATAGACATCATAGGAGGCATCAGGGGCAGCTATTGTACATTAAACAATATTATTTTAAATATTTAAAACCAAAAAAAAACTCTTAGGAGAGAAAGGAAGTTAAGGGAACTCTCCTCAATGTGACCCAGATGGCAAAAAAAAGCTGACCGGGGTTGTTACCCTTTCTTACTCTATCCACCCCCACCCCCCAACAAACTGGCTTTAGTTGTACTTTACAAACAAATGCATCTTTAGAGAAAGTGCTCTTATTCTTTTTGCCCTCCCTCCCCTGAACTAAAGGATCCCATGCCCACCCTCCACAGATCTATCCTTAAGCTGGCAATAGATGGTTAGAATTTCGTTTGAAAACGGTTGCTTGATTTCCTAATAGTTAATGGGGTCAAATTGAAGATCGTTTTCAACAGTAGTGATGGAAAAATTGAAGGAGCGGAACAGAAATTTTTCTTGAATAAATGAATGAAATACATTCTGACAGTGAATGTGATTTCTGTTCAGGAAATTCTATTCATTTCTAAAATCGAATGTTAATATCAAACACAATTTCATTTGTCAAGTCTCTGATGCATTATCCAATATTCTGATGAGATTTTTCATCCATGAATTTTTGGAAACGAATGGCGTTTCCCAAATGAAAACAACATCCACTGTTAGAGTTTCCTTTGTTTGAGAAACAATTTCCATCCTGCTCCTACAATTTTTTTTGCTACTACAGTCGAAAACGATCGTCAGTTTGGCCCCATTAACTAATAGAAAATCAAACAAATGTTGTGAAACATTTTTTTTGTCAAAGAAAATCTATTGGTGCATAGTCAGCTGTTTGTATCTTTGCAGAGTGAAAATGAATTACCATTGATGCAATGTTTCTCAACTCTTACCATGGCAGCGTTTGTTAAATGGAGGAGGGGAGATTGTGATGCTCATCTGCATCTTTGGCATGCAGTACTCATTTTTGGCACAGCAGAATGCAGCGCACCATTCTGCGTGCCATAGTACCAAATGAAATGTCACAAAAAAAGAGAAAAGGTTCACAGTGCCAATCAAGTAGATGAAGAATCAGAACCAGTGGATGGAGATGGAAGCATCGGCGACGCAGGAGAGCCTGGACATTGCAGCGCTGGAGGGGATTACTTTGGCAGGTAAGTCTGCCATAATGTGCTAATATGTTGTGCATACTAGCACATTGTGGCTTCAAGCTCCAGCCCCCCCTCCCCATATGTATATATGGGGGATATATACATATATATATAGATCTATATAGATATAGATCTATATATATCTATATAGATCTATATAGATATATATATATATATATCGGTTTTACTATCACATTCATGTATGCAGATTTCTATCAGGAAGTGGAAAAAGCCTTTAATCATACTTTGGCATTGTTAATATAGACTCTAGCCTTTTAAATATGTGTCTATTTGTCTTATTGTGATCTTTGTAACTAACGGCAATGTGATGATCATTATCATCAGAGAAGGAAGAATGATGTGTGTGTGTGTGCGGTTGCCCCGGGTTCCTGCACCCCCCGCGTCTTGCACTGTGCCTCCAGATAAACACACATTCCTAAATATATTCTATTTCATGGCATCATAAAACCAGCTTATTACTTTCTGAGGAATCTGCAGCAGATACACAGGAAATGAAGTGTTTTCAAACATCTGTCACATTGAAGTATGGACTAATTAAATGGAACGAATCAAAATAATAACAGATGGTGTCATGTTAGCTTTTAGCTATTCTGCTACATACAGGTGATCCCATAATGAAGCTGGGGATGGGAAATCTGGTGCCGCGCAGAGCTTTTCACTCCATAGTAGTGTTACATTTTATGAATGATTACATCAGCCATCCTGACACTGAGGGCTTGTTCACATCATCCCCAAACCAGATCCAGATGCATTTTTTGCACATTTTTGATGTGTCCCGGTGCATTTCTTTTTTCTCTCAATAGGCTTTTCAGTGTGTTCTGGTGCGTTTGAATGCACTTACATGCCTCAGAAAAGCCATTGGAATACATGTGGGATCTGTGCATGTAGCGCACACTATCACATAGGTCACGGTACAACTAGCTGCCTTTGTGTGTTGCCATTCACTTGGAATTGCACCTCACAGTGGGTGGGCAGAGCAGTATCGCAATAACTTGTGTTGCGTTGTGGTGGTCAGGTGTAGTTTCCCACTGCACGGCAATGCATGTTATTGGTGTACCATGTGTTGCGCAACATTGCAGAACATGCCTGCCGTGAGGGGTGCTAGGGTGCCATTCAGAATAAATAGCAAAACAGCGCAAGCGACGTCTGATAGCATGTGCTAAACATAAGGATCCTGCGCATTTGGTGCAATGCTATTGTGTGAACCGGTCCTTAAAGGAAGACACTGCTCTGTCTTATAGCTCATAATTTCAGGGAATTAATAAAAGATGTTACAATAAGGTCTCATTCACACGGATGTGCACAGCCGTACAGTGTGGAAGTCCATGCAGAGACCTGTGCCTGGGTGCGAGACGTGCTGTGTGTAGTCGCATGCAGCCACCTATACATCTGGCTACATGCACACGGCCCTAAGAAAGTTACTGATCATATACCGATGGCCAAAAAATGATCAGTAAAATGCTTGCATTTGAAATGCGTACTCTGTTTTTTTTGGGGACTTTATGTATTACGCAATTACGTGTGTATACGTGTAAACATGCATTTAGACACATGTGCATAAAATGTGTGTCCTCAGATGCAGATTTTTCTATTCCGTGATAAGGTGCCCACACACCTTACGATAATCCCGGGAAATCCTGCGATCGTACGATTATCGTGGTGTGTGGAAGCCGTGCGACCTCTACTACTGTAAGTTCGCACAACTTTTATCTTAGGAACATGTTCGAAAACCCGCCGAGCATCGTACCATGTTCAGCAGGTGTGTAGCATGTTCGTAAGATAAAAGCCGGATGGGCCGGTGTGCGCAAGCGCACACTGCCCGTTCGGTATTGCGGTCATCAGAAGCCCGTCCCTCAGGGGGGGCGCGGCTTGCGATCATCGCAAGTACGATCTGCCTGTCCAAGATAGGCAGACCGTACGTTTTTTTAA